ATAGTCAAGAATATATCTCGGATAACATGTCAGTAGCACCTACATCCTCTCTTCACAATACGGACAATAGAAATATTGGCAAAATTTCTGATCACTGTTCAATATGGCTGGATCCCAAAATGGGTCTACCCGAAAATCATACAAGATTCAAAGATCTCTGCCGCAAACTCGTTCAACCATTAGAAAATATGTCTGCGGTTGAAGATGAAATTGATGTACCCGTAATGGAGGATGAGCATCTACTTGAAAATTTACGGCAAACAGCATATCGTCTCGATTTATATACCGATGAGGATAACTGTCTGCAATTTATTAATGCAAATCCTGACAAAAAGATCTTTCTTGCAATATCCGGCTCCATGGGCCAAACATTTATACCAAAAATATTTGATTTACCGCAGATCGAGGGTTTTATTGTTTACTGTGGCAACAAACAGATACACGGAGAATGGGCAAAGGAATATGTTGAAAAACTTAAAGCAATAGTCGATTTTCCCGATGATTTTTTATATCATATGGCAAAATCTTCTATAAGTGATTATTTAGAAACGAAAGGGGATAATTATATGGCAGAACGCGAAACATTTCAAGCAAAAAATTGTTATGCGTGGTCAAAGAAACTATTAATAAGAGCAGGAAAATATGGCAAGTTTAATATTAATAGTGAGCTTAAACAAATTAATAAGAAAATTGAGAGAGCAGAGCGAGGACTGGAAGAGGTTAGCCAATCTTAAATTTATATAGAATGAGAATCTACTTATTCCAGTTAAAGTCATTCAAACACTCAAGTATACAAACACACACAGAACTTCTTAGTTTTGATCTTGAGTTAGAAATATACATTTTTTGTTTTGCTATAGTCTTGATTCCTTGTTTTTCTTCTTTTTCTTTCTTTAATTTCATACTTTTTGATGTGATTATTTATCTACGTAGGTTCTCTCTTTTTTACAGTCTTCCATAAATACGAGTAAGTAGTAAGTTTTTAAAAATCTTTTGGTTAAAACTGATTACATATCAATAAATTAATTACTTGGAAAAAAAGTTTTTTTGGTCTTTAATATATCTTTTATAGATCAATAAATAGTCGAATTTAAAATGCACCCAGGTCAGAAAATCGTACAGACAATCGTGTTGGATCGTACAACAAATACGACATTATGCGATTCGTACCATACGACCGTACAGAACCGTAGAAAATCGTATAGCACGATGTCTGAATTGTACGGACGCCACACATTTGGTACCATACAATATCAGGTTATACAATCAGACACGATCATATCCGATTTCGTACGATGTGGTGCGATTCTTTCAGTTGAATGATTATTATTCTGTTTTCGATAAAAAATAATAATTTTTCAAACTTCAAGAACCTAAATAAAGATTAAAAACGTTTCAAGCTGCAGTTTCTCAATATAGTACTTATGGTAAAAGATTATTACCACTATCGGAATTTTTAAAGAAAGCGCGTGGAAGAAAAGCTTATAACTTTTGAACGGAAAGTCATAGCACCCTGCGGTTTTCAGGGTTCAATAGACGACAGTTGGGAGCACATGCCAACGTGGAAAAGTGATCTTCCTAGGTACTTTTTCAGACCAGATTTAGCCTACGAAATTAAGGACAAATTAGCGAACTTTTTAGAGG